AAAATGGAGCGGGGCGATGCCTGGCCGCGTCTCGCCCATCGTTCAGTGCACGATTTTGCGGTGCACATTGTGGTGCTTCCTCTGCGATGTGACAGCGGTCTCCTGTGCGGCGATGGCGGTGGGTAGGGGAGAGCGTTGGCCCGCGGCGGGACGGTGAGATCGTGCCTTCGTTTTTCCCACCCCTCCTTCTGTGAAGGCGTGCACTTATTTTTATTGTCAGGGATAGGGCAAACAGAGAGGCCACTTGAGTAAATAAAAATTGCGATAATGTGGCGGTGTTGTTGCCGATTGCACGTTGCGTTGCTGCGGGGGCTGTGGGCCTCGACCGCTTCGCCGACATGCGTTGCAGTGCGGCTGCGTGGCGCACCGACCACTCCGCCGTGCGAGTGCCGCGCGCAACGCCACTGGGACTGCGGGGCGGAACAGCCGCGACTGTTCTTTGGAGCCAGCGGCACCTGTTGGCCGCAGTTGGGCGGTGCGAGTGGGATGCTTCGCCGCACGGGTGTTGTGGTGGCGCCTCGCGGCGGCTTCGGTGATGGTTCCGACGCTGCAGCTCGACATGTGGCGGGGAGTAAAGGGCGACCGCAGCTGACTGTTGACGGTCGGGTGGAAGATGTACTGCTAGACGGATACACTCCCAGCACCAAAATGAGGCTCAATGATTTCCTTTGGAGTTATGTTGGCTCCATGGCGGTCGCTGGTGAAAGATACAATGTGACGATGGAGGTGTTTGCTCAGTGTCCCGAGATGTATATCCGGGACGAAAGGTGGTTACACATAATAACGGCATTGCCGCCATACCAAGAGCTGAAAAGGGAGCTGGATGGGAGGAAAAGACTATCGGAGGCTAGAGACAAACTTGAGGAAGGCGTGTTCTTTCCTCATCGGTGGAGAGACTTTGAATGGAAGGATACGGTCACTTCTCTTGCAATGGGAAACTCGATGCAGCTCCTGACGTGGTACAGCGAGACTTGGAGCAGCGAAAAAATTTACCGTATCCACTAATATTAAAGATGTACTGTTTGAAGGGAGGGTTTGCTACAAGGAAATGCAGCTGCGTGATGTTCTTACGGCGGAACTGGACGGCAGGGGCGTTGCGGACAACAATGGGAATGTCTTGCTGGAGGAGTTTTTCAGGGGACCCTGCGAGGCATATCCACGGTGCGGGGGCGTTGAGCGAAATAAAGACATCGGATTGCTACGTGGGGATGGAGAGGGCTGTAAGGGTTGGGATGGATCTGGAGGAAGATGTACGCAGGATTCATGGTCGTTGTGTGAACAATCTACTGACGTGTTGAGAAGCTGCAGCAGCAGTAAAAGCAACTGTCCATGAGCTCACCAAACGGTTTTGGATGCAGTCGCCGAGGGGACGAGGAACCCACTGAAAACGAGTGCACCGATAAAACTGAAGGGATTGTACGCGTCTGTGCGCAGTGCGAGGTGTCATCATGTCGTGGAAGTTCCTGGCGGCGAGGGATGGGAAAGGATGTGAGGGAGAGGGAGCCACCGCAGTCATGGACGTGCAGGGCAGTTGGCGAAACTTTCGAAAGGGTTGACGGTGTGGAGCAATCCGGTGCACCGCGTCCCAGGCTGATGGTGCTCACCTCGGACAAGGCATGGCCGTACTCTTTAGGCGGGAGGAGGATGAATCCGCTCGTGACTGCCATGTGAACTGTGAGGTGGAGCGCGTGTGGCAGATCGTCAAGGGCGATCTAACCGAATGGTTCAGCCCTCACGGTGAGACCGACTTTGAGCCCAAGCAGCATCTGTTGATTGGGACGCCCGGGATCGGGAAGTCGATGGCTGTCGGCTCGTACCTCCTCTACGAGCTGCTGCACTACGATGTGGAGCAACTACAATTGGTTGTCTACAGTTTTGGTGGAAGCACGACTTGCGTGTTTGAAAAGACCATCAAGACGGTGACAAGCTACGCGGGTAACTCAACGTCCAGGAGAGTTTTGTATGGTTTATGGCAGCGTGGGACGAAAGGGTATGTTATCTACGATGTGACAGAGAATGGAACACCGCCAGAGAAGGGTTCTGCGGTTTTTGATGAATGGGCATGATTGTGGTGCCATCCCCAAACGTGGGCAACTGTGGTGAATGGGAGACGCAAGCTGACGCCGAGCGAATCATCGTGAATTGCCCCGACGGGATGGATGTGAAGGCGATGTGTGCATGGATGAAGCGCGGTGGGACTACAGATGAGCAAGCGGAGTACTGGAAGATGGTCGAATGGCGAATGGATAGAGTGGGGCCGATTCCACGTTACATCTTTGGTGCGAATGAGTTCATTGCACACTCCGCTGCCACTGAGGAATCCTTGGATGGGATCAAGTCCCGGGATGGTGAAAAGCACTTTACGCATGGGGGAGTGAGGCTGTGGTATTCTGGGGATCCGTCTCAAAAGCTCGTGAGGGTTGTCCGAGCAAGAGGAGAAGTCGGTGCTGAGGTATTTCTCAACGCACCGACATCGCTTTGCCTCGGGCGTCGAATACCGCACTATTTTGGGAAACGTAATGGGTGAGAAGGATATATATATTTCTGTTGCTAGTATTGGGGAAGAGGAATACTCTTTTGTCTGAATGTATGGGAGGGTTTGGCTTGCGAGTGTTCATGTTTGGGGGAGTTTGTCGGTGCATTAGTGGAGGAGGTCAAGGAGCTGAGGCCACCAGCACGTCGTGGAGGACAGTACGCAGTGTTGAAGGCGAACTCTGACGGGCACCCCGCCGAGTTATATGTGGAGTGGTTGCAATGGAGTACTGTACAAATAATAGTATAAAGCATCGGCTGCTTGCACACCGGAGACGAAGAACTTTCCACTGGTGGACCCCTTTTTTTCCTTGTGAAGTTACCGCGGAAGACGCTGGTTGGGCTGCGGATGGCTACGGTGGGTGGGCACCACACGATAACCAGCACTGTGAGGCAGTTCACTGAGTGCCTGGCGGAATATTTTAATGGTTGGGAGGAATTATCGCGAGACATGTCATGGGATATTATTTACGTGCAGCACGCAGCCAGCACGCCGATGAACGACTGGCAGAGATGTGAAGTCGACAATTCCGATAATGTGAGCGACGATGAAAGCCGTGAGCTTCGGTGTTCTGGGAGGAAGAGGTGTGCCAGTACCAAGTGTCAGTGTCATCCGGAGACTTTGGCGGATATGCAGCTCTCCGAAGTGAGGAATAACCACGGAAATAGGAGAACAAATTGGGGAATGGGGCAGCTTTGATTTGGCAAAAAAACACTTTTGGATTTATATATTTTTGGATGCCTATGTGTGCATACGCTGCAGGTGCACCAGCCCAATGCGGCAGCACCGCACACAAATGCCAAAATGTCCGACGCTATTGATCGTAGCAGTGACGGAAGAAATCAGGGAGGGAAAGGGGGTTGTTTGGTTCCTGGTGAAAAACATTGGGTGGTTTTTATATGGTATGTTACTTGTTCGTGCATACGCGGCGTAGTTGGGGAGTTGCACCTTAGTTGGAGGATGATTGTGGCCGGCATTATTGCAGTATTACTGCGTTTTTCACTTTTTTCTATGGTGTTCCAAGCCCCATTATTAGAGGAAGCATCTTTAAGGGATGGACGAGGCATAAGTTCCATTGAGGAAACAGTGCATTCCGTGTGACCGCGTGGAGTGAGGCGCCGCGTCATGCATGGGTGGGGATCCGCTTCCGCGTGTGGCTCTTTGGGTGATTGCTTGCTCCGCGTGCGCTGTGTGCCGGCAGCGGGCTGTGGCCGTATCCCGTTGTCCGTGGGATTGAGCTGGAGGCGGAGGCTGTGTGTTGTTCCTCCTCGTCCACGGTAGGTGACTGCTGGCTCTGTGTGCGTTTGTTGTGTGGAGGGCCGAATTCTCTCACCCGGTGACTGAAAGCACCGCGATGGTGTGTAATTAAGGACTGGTGTGGAGTTGCCGGCCAGGGCGAGGGCCGCGGCGGTGCTTTCCCCGTCTGTCGTTTGTTTCTTCCGTGTGTGTTGTGCTGCTTCTTGCTTTTTCCCCCTTGTCATCCTTTTCTCCTGTGTTCCTGCGCGGAGTGGCCGCATGCTCACGGGCCATGTTGATTTTGAGTGCCTCTTGACGGCATCCATTTCCCTCTCCGCCTCTCTGTCTGTCATTCCCTGTTGGGTGTGGCGTGTTGCACCGCGTGAGGGCTGGCCCGCACACACCGACGGCCCGCCGTGACTTGCCGTGTTGCTGCTCTTTTCTGTGGGCGATGGTCCTCCGTGCCGTCCCTTTCGGATTTTCTTGTCTCCTGCTCTCTGCGTGGGTGCTCTGCTCCTCACTGACTTTTCTGATGTATTGCCGCTGTTGCTGCTGTACTCTCCACTTGTTGAACACAGACACGCTAGGAAAGAAAGCAAAAAAGCGCTAATCGCTACTGTGAAATACGAAGGCTTTGAAAGGACCAACAACACACACACCGCCCACACACATATTTATATGCTCTCACGTGTTGCTTCAGTGAAGGCACCCCGCACACACAACCGTCGCCGCGTGACTGGATCCAGCGGAATGAGGAGGGAAGGAGGAGAGAGTGAGCCGCAGAGACCCAGCATGTCCCGGCATGTGTTTGCTTCCGCGGTGCTGCTGCTCCTCGTCACGACGATGTGCTGCGCCACCTGTGGAGCTGCGCCTGCAAAGGAGAATGATGGCAACAGTGATTTAAGAAGTATTCAGGAGCTGCAATGGGTCGATCTATTTGTGCCGCAGACGACGCTGGTGCTGCCGGAAGGTGGAGGTACTTTGGGGACGAAGTGGGATTCATTTGTTTCACCCTCTCTTGTCAGTGCTGGTGGAGTAATTGCTGCTTTTGCCGAAGGTTACGTGTATGGCCAATATGACACTAAATATGTATTAATTAAGAACTATTCTTCTGAAGTTGTTGCGGAGTACATCGACTCTTCGTGGGATTGGTCCACTCTTGTTGAAAAGGTGAATGAAAGTACATGGAAGGCACAAAGCGTGCTTGGTACAACGGATGGAACGAATAATCGTGTGGGTATTTTACTCAATCCAACAACAACGACGAAGGACAATAAGGTGTTTCTTCTTGCGGGAAGCGCTGATGTGCACTATGAAAGTGGTGGGAAATGGAAAGAGGGCAAATTCGAACTAAAACTGGTTGTGGGTGAAGCACAAAGCCTTCTGCGGGCGAAGGGCCAAGTGGATGGATTAAATGGGGCGAAATCAAGTCTCCGTTCAACGAGAGT